AGCGAGTGCGAGTCACGAGGACTGCCATCCGCCATCCGCCATCGCCATCGGGACCGCCATCCGCCACCCGGCAGCAGGAGCCAGGCTGGGCCCTGGGAGCAGAGTGGGCTGGAGTGGCACTCACAAATAAACTGGAGTGCAAGTGACCATGTAGGGTCTTTTGTCTCAGGCTTAGGGACACCCTCAGGTGGCCTCTAGGTCCCTGCTTCCCCACTCCACCCAGAGTCGAAAGAGCCCTGTAAACTGGCGTCTTGAAGGCTGTCTGCTGAGATGTCAGTCCCCGCACCTGTCCCGTGGGGCCATGAGCCCGGGCCCAGAGACACCGCGGGAGGGAGCAGGGCACGATCAGGATGGCACCTGCTGTCACGGGATGGCTTCTGTGATGACATCGAGGTTCTCGGTGTCTCGGACCAAGAATTAAACGGAGCACGCGGGAAGTGCAGGCAGAGGTAGCTGACTAAGTAGGACTGGACGGGAGGGGCCTGGGCGGCAGCGGCCTGGGAGCCCCGCAGCTTTTTCAGTTTTAAATCTAGGCCGTGTCCGTTGACCGTTGGCTGGGCCCACTGGTGTGTGTCACTGGCTCTGTCAAATGTGGTTTCCTCAGCTAGGCACCCCCTTCTGGCCTCGTGCCCACATGACACGACCTCCGGAGGGGAATTTTCTGCCCTGATCGGGCGTTCCAGGTAGCCACAGAGGCAGGCGCTCAGCTTCCAATGGTTAGTGTCCTCCCGCTCACTCCCTGTCGGTGGGCAGAGAGAACGAGAACGGTGCCAGCCGCGTGCTCAGGGCAGGGAGGCGCCCCCTGCTGCCACAAGCTGACTGGGACCATGTTCGAAGCAGTGGGCGGGGCAGCCAACCTTCAGCCCTCTCCTTGCCTGGTGCTCTGACTCAGCACAAGGTGCCTCCAAAGTGTCACTGCCACTCCAACACCATGGGTGTCTGAGGAGGGACCCTCAGGCCCCCGACTGTGCACACAGCGGCACCAAAAGCAGACTGCGGGCTAGAACTGGCAGGTGACCCAGCTCCCGCCGGGCAGCTCTTCCCGTGCCCCATCCTGCTTCGCCTGGGGAGGGAGGCTGCCCATCATCCTCATGTGACCACCCAGTCGTCGTCGAGCCCCCAAATTAGTACCCCGCTTCCCTGTGCCAGCCTGACAACCCCGAAGGGGCGGGGGTGGCGAGGCTTCCTAAGGCCATCCCTGGGGAGTAGCCTCCCTCTCTCTGTCCCCGCGAAGCTTCCCCACAATCACTCTGAAGTTTTCAGGCCAAGAGGATGTTCCTGGATTTTGTTGACAAGTTTGACTTGCTTTTGAGGTTGCTGTTTTCTTAGAGACCCAGGGCCATAACTTAATACCCACCTGGCTTACTGCCCAAGGATTTCTTTCTCATTGTCTCGCAAACATCGCTTACCCAGACAGGCACATAACCTTGAGGGAAGTCGCAGCACATAAACGGATTAGGGGATTGTCCCCATCCTTCCCGACAGATTAGTCACCCGAGCCTGACACTGCTGCATTTCAGAAGGCTTAAGTTCCCAAGCCCAGGGAGAAAAGGCTGCAGGAGAAACCCGAGTCTACGGGTCACCTCTAAGAAAAGGAAATCCTATTGCTAAACGGAGCATCAAGAGAAAAATGGAGCCACGGCCCTAAGGCTGGTACTTAAAGGAGTCAGATGCCACATGGCTGGTCACGTGGTGTCTGGGCCTCAGTGGCTTGAAAAGCATACTGGGCATATGCCCCTGTCGGAGGGCAAAGAGATCAGGTACCCCAAGGAGAAGGGCTATGGCCTGAGAAAGGACAAATAAAAGTGGGGGTCAGGCAGACCCGGAGTCTCTGCTGGAGAATGCTGTGGCCCCAAGCCCTTCTGGCTCATTCCTCCACAGAGAGGCAAAGCCTGCTTCAGCTGTGGAGCACCTGTGGTTCTGACCGCCTCTCCTGCCTTCTCTGGCTGTCCTCAGGCTGCTTCTACCCGGCTATGTCACTGGACTCCCACATAGCCGACCGTGGTTCGAGTGGTTCAAGTCTCGGACCTGGTGGCTTAAACTCACGCCGGGGGCATGTGTGTGCGTGTTAACGGATGAGAGAGTGTCGAGCTGCGCTGTGATGTCCTTGGTTCTTTGGGTCCAGATCGCTAAAATTAGAGATCTGTCCCTAGGCGCAAAATGAAACCGCAACCACGAATGAAGTAGGTGGAAAAGAAGGCTTAACAGGAAAGAAAGGAAAGTACACCCAAAGAGGCTCTTGGGCGGGCAGATTGCCAGGTGGCACCTGCGCTTGACACTGGTTAATTGTTCCTTTTATTACTAGAGGTGATCGTGAGTATTTATTGGTGGGAGGTCTGTCATACCGCCTATGTCCTTGGTTTGAATTAGAATCCGCATTTTCTCCTGTTTGCCGCATTTGGTGACCTTATTGCTCTTGCCCAGTGTGAGCCAGGTCGTTTAATTAGACGGCCTAATTAATTCATAGTCCTAGTGGGAATTAGGGCGTTGGCCAAAACACTTACTCGGGGACTAGGGTGTTGACCAAAATGCTGGCTTGGGTCCTTTTGATAAGAGAAAAATCTACCAATCTTCCCTGTATGCTTCCCTCAGGCCCCAAGGAAGGAAGATGGCAAACTGCCTCGCCCTCCTGGCGCCTGGGGCTAGGGGAGCCTTTCCGCTTTTCTCTTAGAGCTGCCCTCTCAAGATCCAGAGAGGAGGATGGAGGAGGGGT